TGTTATCGCGATCGATAATTTTGCACTCTTGACAGTCGTTCCCCCTGTGGGACCATTTCTACGTAGTACTACGTTTACCATAGCGAGAACGTGAGACAGCAGATTTAGTAATTCTATCTGTTCTCCTATTTATTATGCATAAATTTATTCTCATTTGACAAATGATTAGCGATGCCTATTTGTGAATATTGTCTGCTTATTATTGTAGGCAACCGTGATCATGCTATCCCGCAATGAATCACAATCGTACAATGACTTGCCTAAATCAAAGCGGTATTTCAACAGCTTGCAGTTGGTCAGTGATCAATGGCAGTCGCATTGCGGCTGCGCTGACAACCTCACCGGCGAGGTATTCAACTTTTGCTATCAACACCCTCTTATCCCGTTCCTCATCGGTACAAAGTTTTCTTGCGATTTGTTGCCATACTTAAGAAACCTGGGTCTTTTCGAGCCAATGGAATATGTTCAAGCGAAGGACCTTCACCATCCAGCACCAGCTTTTGTGACAGCCGCCGACCAAAGTTACTTCGACCCGGCGATCACCCTGATCGTCAACTTTCAGTCACATTTTCCGAGGGAAACACTCATCGTCTATGATCTCGGATTCACGCAGGAGCAAGCGGACCAAATAAAGACATCGTGCAACGTGGAATACAGGAAATTTTTCTTTGAGAAGCTTCCAAGTTATGTCAGAAATTTAAAAGAATATCGCTTCAAGTTTTACATTGTCGCAGTATGTAACATTTTTTTACTAAGTTATTTTCTGATGTTTTACCTCAATGGATGCTCACACTGTCTAGCTGGAGAAACAAAAAACATATTCGGTTCTAATGGCTTCAGAATTCAAACGCATGTTAGATATTATGATAACTGCATGACCGCATAGTTAGTGAACAGTTAGCAGTCGTATTTATTAGTCAAAGTTTGGATACTTAGTAGTTATTCAATATTGGAAACCGATGAAGCCGCAGTCTCTTTTCCTTGAAAAGGCCATTTTAATCTTACCATTGATGAAGATTTCACTAGGTACTATGATGATTGAGTGAAACAAATGCTCCATAGCGATTGGTATCTTGACGACAAGAACCAGATGCTGTGACAGAGAATTTTTTATGGATCAAGCTCACAAGTTGTGTTTTGAAACTATACTTGAAATGAAGCATATAATATTTATAGCTTAATGATACGAAATTGATACATGAAAATGCTCATCTTAAAAATATCGAGGCGCAGAGCGGAATAGGAGCTTTGACTGAAGCATTATCAAAATTTGTGATGTGTATTACTTATTTTTCTGATCATATCGGTCCATCAGATCTGATCAAGTGCATTAGGAACTGGGCCTTCAAATGTGTAGGAAGGCCAAGATTAATTTTACCTCATATAAATACACCAGATATCCCCTAAAGTCACAGCGAATAATGTTTCAGATCGAGTGCCTCTCCTGTAGTCTATGATACATGTG